TCAAGTTCAAGAATTATAAGAACATAAAATGTAGAGGTCCGGTGTTATACAGAACCTGGAAAAGGAGTGTCTCAGAAGTTAGATTTTAAAGTAAACTGGAATGTTTTTGAAGTGACATGATGAGGGTGTGCTTGATTTTTCTTTTCTTCTTTTTTTTTTAATGAATTGTGTTTGATTCATCTAACTTTCTGGAATATTTAACTTTAACTAAAATGTCTGATTTTTTCCTTATTAGCAATCCCAACCCATCTGTCGCAGATTTTCCACTTCTGAGAGTCAGAAACCATGAGAAATGGAAAGTGCTAAGACACCTCTGAACTCTGCTATTTCAGGGTGGAGCTGGACACACCATTCCACACAGTGAAAGGAGAATTTTCCAAGTTTTTGTAGTTGAGAAAACACTGGAATCTCATGTGATTTGTGGAGCAAGACCTTTGGGATCAAATGGCTTAGGAGGGAAACTGCGAATTTTTCCAACTTTCCTTAATTGTTTTCAAACTCAGCTTAAAAACTGCCCCTGAGGATCCACAAGTTTCCACACTTAATGTTTTCCCTCCTCTCTAGCCCTGGAGGCTGGCTCTTTGAAAACACCTTTTTGCCAGCATTTTCAAAGCAGAACTTTCTTTGGACCTCGCCTTTCATTGGCGTTCTCGCGCCGGTCCTTCTGCCACACCGGACCAGCGCAGGAAGGGCACACCTGGCCAGCACCTGCTCTTTAGTTGGCAAGGCACTCGGGGCATGTGACTGACACATACCAAACACTGAGAATCAGAGTTTCTCAGGCTCTTCTCATGGCAGAGCCATGTGCACCAAGGGCAGCCTTTTTCCAGGATTGTGTGCATTTTTTAAAAATTTACTTCTTAAAACGTAGAAGGCCTCAGGGCCAGCAGGGACCAAGCATTCATGCCCTGAGACATAAATTAAACAAAGGGGTTCCCAGGTGGCTTCGCCACACCATTTCAGCCCCAACCAGCAAGTGTCTGAGACACAGGCCTAACTAGGGGGACCACAAAAATTATCGTACAGGCCAGGCACTTCTAAGAATAAAAGATATTGCTTCTCCCTCTTTTTCCCTCCCACCTCTCCTTCCTATTTAGTGGTAGTCTTCTTCTCATGCTCTTCCTCCCTATCCCATTTTGAGTCACCCCCCTTATATCAGAGAAGAATTCGGCATTTGTTTTTTAGGGAGAAGGGGAGTTACATGGAAGATGGAAGGAGACCCTCATCGTTATACAGAATACATGTATGATGTTGTGATGAGAAAAAGAAAAAAAAAGTGTGTAACATTAGATTGGATAGAGAGAAATGATGGGAGGGGATGGGAGGAGTAGGGGGGATAGGAAGGGCAGCAGAATAGAATAGACATTATGATTGCTGTATGTATATAGGTGACTCTATGACCAGTGTGATTCTGCAATCTGTACAATTAGAAAAATGAGAAATTATACCCCAATGATTCAAATGTATGAATTGCCAAGATCATTGTAATGTCATGTGTAACTAATAAAAAAAAGATATTGCTAAAAATAATTAGAACCACAGTATATAGTTTTAAAAAAATGTTTGTTGAATCATTAATTCATTATATTGTAATTGAACTTACAAGATAGTTTTATTCAAAAGCTATTTTAAAAAGTAAAATTGTATCAGGCATGGTGGTGGGTGGTACACAACCATAATCCCAGTGACTTGGGAGGCTGAGGCAGGAGAATTCCAAGTTTGAGGTTAATCTCAGCTACTTAGTCTCAAAAGCAAAAATAAAAAAGGCTGAGGGTGTAACTCAATGGTAAAGCACCTCTTGGTTCAATCCCCAGTACCAAATAAATAAATAAGTAAGTTTGTTTCTAAAAGTAAAAGTAGCATATTCTTATACAGTAAGACAAAATTTTTAAAAATTAAACAAAAATATTGATTCTTGAACATAAAAATACAAAGAAGGATGGGGCTGGGGCTGTGACTCAGAAGTAGAGCCCTCGCCTAGCATGTGCGAGGCACTGGGTTCAATCGTCAGTACCACATACAAATGAATAAATAAATAAAATAAAGGTACTGTTTCCAACTACAACTAAAAAAATTAAATAAATAAATAAATAAAGACAAAGAAAGATAATATTTTTGGTACATAGTAATATACTTTAATAAGTTTCTTAGATAAACTCTGTCTCCAATAACATCATGGGTACTTTTTCTGAAAATTATCTTTTCAGTAGGGTCTTTTTATTTTTAATTTTTAAATAAAAGTAACTGAAACCACCTTCAAATTTGTATTGTAATGAATTTGAAATTATTAGCACTTTTTTATCTTTACAATTTAAATAGAAAAATAAAAAATTTTAAGGTCTAGATAATCCCTGATAAGCTCACAGAAAATTCTAAGAAAAAAAGAGTTTTTTTAAAAATTAATGTTTTAAAATTTATATGTGACAGCAGAAATGCATTATATTTTTTGTTACACATATAGAGCACAATTTTTCATAACTCTGGTTGTATACAAAGTATATTCACACCAATTGTAAGAGTTTTAACTCTAATTTTATTTATTTATTTTGGGGGGTATTTAAATGTGTAAATGTTTTAATTCAAATATTTCCATAGGTAGTTTCTTTTGACTATCAATTTCATATCTTTGTTTGACACATTTTTTTAAAGGAAAGAAACATCAAAAATTCCCCATAACAGGCTGGGGCTGTAGCTCAGTTGGTAGCGTGCTTGCCTTGCATGCACAAGGTCCTGGGTGTGATCCCCAGCACCACAAAACAACAACAACAACAAAAAAAAAACACTCCATAATATGATTCTTTAGAACTTTAAACAACTATAGATGCTGCAAAATATAGGTGTTTTCAATTTCCTTTTTATTGTTGTATAGGAATTATTATACAATTAAAAATAAGGAATGTATCAAATATTTCTTCATATAAGTCTAAATAGCCCAAAGAGCAATCACAGACTTTAAATTTAAATCTTATAATCCATTTGAATTCTCACTTCTTATTTTTTTTCAGTTCTTCACTTGCTTTTATTTGGTGTGATTTCAATATCTTCTTGGTTACAAGCTTTTGTCTTCAATAATCGCAATTTGTTAAAGTTTAAGTACTAAAGTGTTGGGATACTCCATTCATTGAATAATTTGATTAAGGATTTACATCTGATTTTGAAGAAAACACACCACAATTTCAAGAACACGTTTGCAAAAAGCATTCAGTGCCATTGTAGTACATTTGGGCTGAGTTTCAAATTTGTTCTTCAAAGACTTGAATGCTTCTTAAACTAGTTAATGATAGTCAGTGAAGAATGAATTCACATTCTGCCATATCTAAGTATTTTCTCACTTCAGTATCAGTGTCACCATGAAGACTGTGTAGTTCAGTAATCTTATCTCATATATGTACATTTCTTTTGGTGTACATTTTCTTGTTGGTGGTGTTGTGTGTTTTTGTTGTTGTTTGTTTTTGTTTCTTTTCTTTTTTTTTGGGGGGGGGGTATTGAGGATTGAACCCAAAGGTGCTTATCACTGAGCCTCATCCCCACCCTTTTGACTTTATTTTGAGATGGGTTGTTGCTAAGTTGCTTAGGGTCCCTCTGAGTTGCTGAGGCTGACCTCAAACTTGCTATTCTCTTGCTTCAGTCTGCCAGGGAGTGGTTAACAAGCTTGTGACCACACTAGGCCTATCTGCATGTATGTAAAAAAACTTGTGGACTTGGACAACACAGCTTCTATTTCAATTGGTAGAACACAATTGTGCATTGTTTGTATGGCAGTGGGTTCCAAGTAAATTTCTAATCCAAGGGTTTACTTTAGTAAGAGGATTGTGTTTTCCACAATGCTGCACACCACAAAAATTGGTAATCATATAATAACTGCAAAAGCATATGATTTATTCCTCAATGTTGAACCTGTAACTGAATTCCCAAGGACATTCATAATAATTTCAGATGTTTCACTTACAACAAAATAAAACCCTAAAAGTTTTACTTTGGACAAAAATCTTTAACTATTATTATAATAAATTGAATTTTTATTTCAGTTGCTATATGACACTGATTTGAACTTGGCATTAGCATTAAGACAGCACAATGAGTTCATCAACAGGACTGCTTGTCTACTTTCTGTACACATTTTATGTACACCTAACTTGTACTTTCCAGTCCTTCCCACTTACTCGGTGACTTTGTGAATCTACAGACAGTGGCACAAACTGATATCCCAAGGGTCTTACAGCTTCAGTGTCATGCGACCTTTCTTCAATCTCCACGTGAGACAGGAAGGAGCTGTCTGTCCGTGCCAGCCCATGACTGTTGAGGGCCACAGCCGAGTCGGAGTGGCTCGTGATTTGTGCCCAGCCAGACTGCGGCACATGACTAAGCAACCTCATTTTAACAATGGTGGCTCTGAGCCGTGCTCCTGAAGAGGAAGCATTAGCGACATCACTCTGAATAAGCTGAGAAGAGAGAAATGGGTTATTGCTGATCTCTCTCTGGCTTTACTGTATGCTAAAGTGAAGACAGCACTGCCACAAGCCACCCATTAGCCCCCGAGGTCAGAAGAGAAACTGGGAGTACAAAGTGGCTTTCTACCCTTTTCAGTTTGTTTTAATGCAATTGCTAATAAACACACTCCATTTAAAAAGGAAATATCTGGGACAAACACTGTACACCAAAAGGATGCTGGGAATGGAGGTGTAACCTGGGGCTCTTCAGAGCACACCAGCATATACAGCACCCTGGCCCCATCCACTTTTCCTGGATTTTCCTTGGATTTAGCTAACTGATGTTGTAAGTTTCCCAAATATCTTTAAAAGGATACTCTTCTGTCTTTATTATTAAAATAAAACAATTCGAGTTTTATTGACTTTGAGTTTATTTAACTTCTAATGTAGGATTTTTAGGAAAGCATTATTACAGAAGTTATGCTTGGCCTTACATTAATTAAAAAAAAAAAAAAAAAGGAAAAGAAAAATCCAGGCTTCTTTTCGGCTTGCAGGCCTTGTTCAAGGGGCCTCCAACTAGATCAGGACATCTCCCTTGCTTTCTCTCAATTGCAGCCCATGTTTATTTCCTTTATAGCACTTAATGCTATTTGTTGCAATTATTTGATTTATTTGTTGGCTCATTTATCTGATTGCAGGTTCCTCCCAAGAGAATGTAAGACCCATGAAAGAAGTGCTTTATCTGCCCTTTCTACCTTCATATCCCCAGAACTGAAGAAAGTATCTGTCACTAAGCACCCAATAAATATCTAGTGAATGAATGACAAGCATCAATTAATATTATTTAAGGTGCAAGATACACATTGAAGAACTTATGAACAGGTGGGCCAAGTTTGATATCTATGGATTGTAATATCATACTTTCTAAAAATAAGTATTATTCTGATAATGATTTCCATTATACTTTTAGCAAGCTAGCACCTCTCTGCTACTACAGAGGCACTACCCAGATCCTCCAAGTCTAAACATTGGAACAGGGGCCCCTGTCCTGAGTGGCTCTGTGGATAGAGTACCTTTCAAGGCCTGGAGGGTGGAGGCACAAAGGGACTTGGGGGCATTTTAAAAGTTCCCTTCAGCTCTATACCTTTGTAAACTGACCTCAAATGGAACTGTAGCTTTTGAACAGATGGTGGAAATGGCATTGTTAAATATAAGAGTTTGTTGTTTTCATAAGCTATCAAACCGCTGATAACTTTATCTACATTATTTGATGAACAGGCTCCATTTTCTCTCAGCATTTCTGTTCTGTAAATGTCCTGGTTTCTGGATAAATTTTCTCAAGCCTCGTAATACCTTCTGTAAAATAAAATGAAAATCTCCTTGTATCTTAACATTTAAAAAGATAATACCAAATCTCAAGGAAAGGATTTCAAAAAGTTTTACTAGCTAGAAATGATCAATGTTTGAGGAGATTAGTAAATAGGCTTAACCTGATTAAACGTTATGTAACACACAAATGTATAGCAACATCACGTGGCATTCCATTAATATGTCCAGTTTTCATGTTTTAATGTATCAGTTAAAATTAAATTAAAATATAGTTGGGTGCAGTGGTGCATACCTATAACCCAGTGGCTCAGGAGGCTGAGGCAGGAGGATCATGAGTTCAAAGCCAGCCTCAGCAATTGAGCCAGGGTCCTAAGCAACTCTGTGAGACCCTGTCTCTAAATTAAATATCAAAGAGGGTTGGGGATGTGGTTCAGTGGCTAAATGTCCCTGAGTTCAATCCCCAGTATATAAAAAAATATATATAAATAAAAAATTAAAATACAATCCCTTATCAGGGAGGGGGAGAGATGGGAATAATACTGGGAATTAAATGGAAAAAAAAAACTATGTTATATACATTTACGAGCATGTCAAAATGAACCCCACTATTGTATATAACTCAAATGTACTAAAAAGTATATAAAAAGATAATTCCTTTAATTTAGTCTTATGCAGAATCTTTTAGTTCCAATCAGTGCTATAATCTTGAGCAAAATAATTTGAAGAATCCTTTGAATGCATGATATTTTTTTCAGCTACCCATTGGTAACAAAGGCTTCTTTATAAAGTACTCCAGGTATGATTTTGGCTAAGGGAAGATGTTCGGTTGGAGAAAGTAGGAAGAGCAGCGATAATGTCACATGGATAAGGTGCAGCTGTTAGGAAGGAGGCCTTACCTCAAGTCACTCACAGATCAGTTTCATTACCACGGTCCTCACGTTTTCAACTCTTAACACGAATCCTGTGTGCCTCAGTAGCTCATGCTGAAGGATTCATTGAGTAAGTTATATACATATTCCATGCTCTGGCATACGATGCAGTATTAAATATCATACTGCAGATGAATATTTAATGACATGAAAAATCGTGACATATTAAGGTGAAAAAACAGAAGTGAAAGTATACATACAACATAATTCCATTTCAAATTTTAAATGAAGTATATTCATGCAAAGTAAAAAAGACAGGCAAGTTATACCTTGCATTATGATCTGGGATATATTTGACTATATTATATATATATATATATATATATATATATATATATATATATATATATATATATATATATAATATATATATATATATTACCAGGTAATGCCAAGATAGCAAAATGAATGATTTCCTCTGAGCAGGGGATAGAATAATCTTTCTCTTTCTCTGCCTTCCGGCTTTTCTCCCTTCTTTCTTTTCTTTCTCTTTATACCTCTGCTTTCTAAATCAAACCTAAACACTGATTTCCTTTCATGATTAAAGAACATTTTATTTTATTATTGGGGTAAGATTCACTTAACATAAAATAAACCATTTTAACGAGAACAATTATGTTCTTTTTAATGAATTCCCAGTGTTGTACACCACATCTGTATCTAGGTCTAAAACATGTTTATCATCCCATATCCATTCATCACCAGTCTCTGTTTTCTCCTTCCCCAGCCCCTGGCAACTATTAATCTGCTTTCTATCTCTATGGATTTACCTAATCTGGTTATTTTCTATAAACAGAAATTGACAACATGTGGCCTTTGTGCCTAAATTTTCCAAGTTCATACACAAGATGTGTTAGCACTCCATTCCTACATAACACTGCCTTGCATATACCACAATCCATCCACTAATGGGCATTTGAGGTCTTTCCCATGTAAAACTTTTAAAAGTCATTTTGCAGCACTGAGTTTGTTAGATAATGAACCTCAAGATCAATGAAGAAAGGAGAGTAAGGTAGAAAAAAGACCAAAATTGGCAAATTTTTAAAACTTTATATTTCTTTATATTTCAAAATATACACAAACATGGAAATAGTAGGGCAGTATAAAAAAGCCCTCCTATTCATGTTTTCCTCTTCTCCAATTTCTTATCCAGAGGCTGTTGCCATATATTTAAATGTATACTTTGCCTGAACAAATATACATGCATATTTGTGGGGTGTGTGTGTGTGTGTGTGTATGCACGTGTGTGTAACTTTTTTCTTTCTTTACAGAATTATTGAGACCTATTAAGCTGCAGTAGCCACAGGGGCAGGTGGCTGGCTAATGCTGCTGTCTTAATGCCCCCTGCTCAGAGTGCCCTCTCCTTAGAACCCCTCCCCCTTCCACATAAGCTACTTGCACTCAAATCCTTGTTTAAGGTCCCTTCTGAGAACCTACACAAGATACAAACTTTACCTTATTTTCATAATGCTCTGAAAGGTGGGTGTTACAGACAATTTATAGGTGAGGAAACTGAGACTCAATCAAGTAACTGAGTCCAGACAGAGAACAGCTAAGATTTACTCAGGTAAACGCGTGCTATACTTTGCTTTTTCTTCTTTCCTTCTTTCTTTCATCTCTCTTCCTTTTTTTCCAGATTCCTTGCTCAGGGGAGTAACCAGGTTCTAACCTGGCAGTGCAATCTCTGGGGCAGACTGCTGGTGAGCAAACCCTCATAGGGGTGGTAAGGAACAAGCCCAGGAGGGGAAGGTGCTGTCCTTCTCAGGAGTACTGGATTCCTGCTTGCTCACTCCTTCCTGTTTTGTCTTTTCATAATAACCTTCACAACTGTGATAGCAAGGCAATTCCTCCCCTTTATTTTATTTTTTGCAGTGCTGAGGATCAAACGCAGGGCCTTGGGCATGCTAGGCAAGCACTCTACCACCCAGCCACATCCCCAGTCCTTCATAGTAATTCCTTAAAGACATCAAATTTTATGAGAATGAATTTTGTTTTTAAAGTGTGCAAATTTTGGAAACGCCACTCAAGGTGTTATTACCAGACCCCCCTCCTTCTATATGCATGTCTTATCTGTCTCCAAATAACATGCTCGCAACCCTTCCTGCTAAATCAAGTGGCTTGTCATTTTGCAGTTCTGAATGGAGTGAGGTATGACCACCCTGAAAAGCACACACCTGCTGATGGATGGGGATCCAAGAACACAGCACAGAGAAGCTAGCTTGGCTCCAGTGCCCTGTTCCTTCCTTCCCTCCTCCCTACACACCCAAGGAACACCTGCTCTGGAAGTCTTCCCTGGCAGTGAGTGAGCAGGTGAGTTTATGCGGCAGGCTGTAGTGGTACTTCTACCAGGGCCTCCTGCACCTTTTCTGCCCATCTCTGCCTCACACCCCCAGGAGGCTTAGTTGAGCAACTCCTTAGACATTGGGCAATAGATACCATAAATAAAATTTAATTATTTTTTTCACAATAGTAATTTTCATGACTTTTATAATCTGATCTTTTTTTCTAAGAGCCCTCAGAACATTAGATGCATGCAAATATGAAGATGCTGACTCCCTCCAGAGCTCTTTCCCATGAAGAACACAGGAGGCAATATCCTCAGGACAAGAGCCCAAGACACTGGGATATGAATCAACTTCCTCTTGAGTGAGTTCAAGAGTTTGGAACAATAAACTCATATCATTAAAATTAAATAGATTTAAATAGCTCAAGCATATATAGTATTTCCAATTGGGCCTTTGTCATCCAATATTCCTCCATATCTAAAAAGTATTACACATATATGTTAATAATTACATACAGAAACATGCAATGTGCATACACACACAAATCCTCTTGACTTGTAATGGGATTATGTCCTAATAATCCCACAATAAGTTGAAAATAGTATAAAATGAAAACACATTTAATACCTATAGCCTACTGAACATCTTAGTTTATCAACATACCACACAGTGGAGTATTGGTCCTTTACCCTCACAATACAGTGGCTAACTTGGAATTGTGACTCAATACCACCACCAGCATCAGGAGAGAGTAGCCTACCACAATTGCTAGCTGGAAAAAAGATCAAAGGTATAGTTTGCGGTATAGTTTCTACTGAATATATATTGCTTTCCTATCATTGTAAAGGCAAAAATTGCAAGTTGAAGCATTGTTAAGTCTCAAGTCAGGGACCATCTGTGTGTGTGTGTGTGTGTGTGTGTAGTTGTCTCTTAGTACACACAGGTATTGGTTTCTCAGATACAAAAAATTCATAGATGCTCAAGTCCCTTATATACAATGATGCAGTATTTGCATACAATGCACACACATCTTCTAAGTATATTTTAAATCATCTCTAGATACTTATACCACACAATACAATGTAAACAATATGTAAATAGTTATTATGTTGTATTGTTTAGGGAATAATGACAAGGAAAAAAGTGTACACCTTTAGTACAGGACTGTTGTTAAAAAATGTTTTCAATTTGCAGTTGGTTGAATCCATAGATGCAGAACCTGTACCTGCAGAGGGCCAGCTGTGTGTAGGGCTGTGTGTGTGTGTGTGTGTGTGTACATACATACCACTAAGATCCAGCATGACATATATTCTTCTTGGTTCATGTGTATATGCTATATATATATATATATATATATATATATATATATATATATATAAAATCTTAGAAGAAACATCTGTACCTGTGATAAATCCAAGAATCACAGGCATGACTATATATTAAACAATTTAGAAATTGTCATAGATAACCAAAGAATATGATAGTTGCTGATATATAATATTCAGATGTAGGAAATGTGCTGTGTACTGAACTATAGATAGATCTCTATGAGGTTCTTGAATTTTAACTTTTATGGAAAAGTCAAAGGAAAAGAACAGAATCATTATGACATTGAAAAAGTGTCAAAAGGAGAAGGGCCAGCTGGTAAATCATTCCAAGTCCTCAGAAAGCTTATATTCCTCAGTGGGGACCCAGGACAAGCCCACTGATGGATACAATGTTTCTTGATGGTAGACTTACATTTTAAAAATTCTCCTTCATTATTTTCATGTTCCTCAGGGGAAGTCAGGCTCTGATGGAATTGGCTGGTGCTAACTAAATCCACAAGAGCCTATTGGTCAACCTGTTTGCCAATTAACTAATTTGGAGTGGAAAAAAAAAATAGTGCTATTAAGAAATCTGGAATGTTTGTGTTCTGTCAGAATTTTTTCTCACCTGTGAAAACCTGCAAGGAAGTCAAACAAGGTCAGAACAAAGCTTGATGGGTCAGAATCCAAGGAGATGTGGCATTACAGATAATCAGCTGAAGTTGAAATGATTTGGACACTATGTCTAGGTCCTTTTCAAAGGCTCAAAAGTGCATTTTCGGTGGAATTTTAATGCACTGTGATGATGGGGCTCACGTCTGCATAGAGAGTCTCACCTTTAAATAATGTTCTAAAGGTGTCTGGAAGTCCCCTTTTTACTAGAGCTTGCTATTTTGGTCTGAATTTTGATGTTTGATTCTAAAATTTCTTTTTTAGCAAAGTCCTACCAATACGTTTAAGAGAAGTCTCCCTCATGATATTTATCTATCGGCTTTCACTTCTTTCTTTAAACACTGTTATCTACTACCTGGGCCAATGACCTTTACCTTTATATAATTTGGATCATTATGTGGCAGGGCGGATGCCCTAGAAAGGCTGGAATATTGCACTCTAATGCAACCGCGACACGTGGGTTCCATTTTGCCAGCACTTAGCACGGTAACACTCCACTGGTAAGTATGTTGGCAATGGACGGACAGGATTTCTGCTTGGTGGATCCTTTCTTGGTTACAAGGATCAAGTTAAAGAAGAATATTAAGCAAACTGAAATTTCCATATCGCCTATAGGCAAAATTTGTGAGTTTGAAGTCATGGTTCAATTTATGAGGACTGTCAGCTTTTATCAAGAAGTAGATACTGTGTTCTTCCTTTTCATCTTCATATCTTTAGCATCTATCACAGTGTTTGGTAGGAGGTAAGTGAAGGAGATAATTCTTCGTGGATTTCCCACATGTCTACAGGTCTTGGGAGTAGACACGGACTCACTTATTCTGAACTGGTTTTTAAAGTATGTTTGTAGAGCAAACTGCCTTGGAAGAGTGAGAAAGTGTCTCTCCCAAGAGCAATGTGCATGCCTGGTTTCCCTCGGGTCCCTCTCAAATGCTGACACTGCTATTACTATTGCTGTGAGTTAGGAAGTCCTTTCTCTCTGACCCAGGAGTCTCGTGACGTGTACCAGCTTCTGTGAAACTGTCAGGTTAGCTTAGCTTCAGACTAGGAGAAAGTCTCACTGAGATCCTCCTTCTGGAGGGTAAGTGCTCAAAACCAAAACCGAACGAACAAGATTATTGAATAGATGAATAAAAAAAAAAATTTAAGGGCTTAATATTATTCCAGATAATCAACTACCCAGAGGAAGACCCCAAGAACTTCTGTTTGCCAGGAGTTATTTCGCAATGTATTTTTGTCAAAGTACCAGTGTGTGCTAGTCAGCCCTATGTTTATTTTAGATATCAGTGTTGACTTTAAAATGTTGGCAGCAGTATGTTTGGACTTGGCTAAACATGGGGTTGTACGATGGGAACCATTTATTTATTTAAGCATTACCTAGTCATATAGGAACTACAGGCTTTGCATAGTTTCTACTGGTTTCTGCATTAGTGCCCCTAATGGAGGATACTATAGTTTTGGTACACAGAGCTGAAATTTTATTCTCTCTTTCTAAAAATAACCAATGAATTACCTTTAGAAAGTTGTTTGCATTTGGAACCCAAAAACACTGACTTTGGTATTTATTTTTCCACTCGCTCCAGAAGTAGATGGATTTTTCTCTGTTTTAGAATGCCTGACAAACCTGAGCTTGGGAACACTTAACCCAGAGGAAGTGACCCAGGCTTTCTCCATGGCAGATGGCCAAGCTGCCACCTGCTCCCCTCCTGTTCAACATGACTCCAAGATCCTGGACCAAAGGCTGGTGCCAGGCAGCTGGGGACCCAGAGAGAAAAAATGCTTTCCAAGGGTAAACAGTGATTTAAGGTCAATCACTCATAATTAGCTTAGAAATTGCATAGTGTGTCAGGAGGATAAAACGTCAAGGATCAAGGAGAAAGAGTTTTGCTTCTGGTCTGGGGCCCCTTTTCCTGGGACTCTGGGCAAGGCATTCGACCTCTCTGAGTCTTGTTTTTCCCAACTATAAAATAACAATAATGATAATGGTGATCATGATGATAACACCTTCTCTGCCTATATAATAACATTGTTTTTAGCATTACATGGAATAGCTCAATTGTGTTACTAAGTGTGACAATCATATAGCCCTTTTCTCTATGTTTTGTTTATGAATTTAGAAGAGCCAAGACCATAAAAGTCTACATTAATGGAGCTATTGTTAGTCAAGAATATACTCTCCATATTATTTTTGAATTTTTGCTTCCCATTTTTGAACTTAGCAAAATATCACTCTAAGGATTAAAGCAAATGTGACCTTGAATGCTATCCATATGTGATTGAAATATTTAAATCATGACAAAACCTATTCATTTGGAAGATAACTAAATCACAGCTGCCAAAACCAAACCAGAATCAAGTCACATTGGATAAACATATATAACTTGTTATTTCTTTCTGACTTACTAGATTTTCTTAAAGGCATTAGAACTTGGGCAATTATCCTTGACCTGATTTGCACTAATTAGAAAATGAATGGTACATAGAATGGCTGCATGAGAGTTGATCTCTTTCTGCTATGAACCAGCTCCCTGGGTGGGGCAGGAAGACTTCCCAATTCCCAGAGAAAACAGATTGGTCATACCAGGAGCTGGTCTCTGTAGTAGCAAGTCACTCTCAGTATGACAGGACATTGTGAGTTTTGACATAGAATGGGAGAAGAATAATTAACAAAACATTCATTTACTTTGTTTTTGTTGTATGGTGCAACCCTAACATTGAGACCAGTTGCCATGGAAATATAGGAAAGGATATAAATATAGATCAGACAGATATGAATTTAAAGAGATATAAAAGCCCACAGAAGGAATAAGTGTTCCTTTTTTAGAATGGAGAACTTCTCATTTCCTTTTGATTTGAGCCATCATTCCTGAATGCAACGCACTTGTTCTAGTATAAAATTTTAGTGAAGTGGAGGTAAGGAAAAAATAAAGAAAAACCACCAGAGAAGCATTTTTAAAATTTCTTCAACTTTCATCTTCAGGATGGTCTGTGAATGGTTACCGCCATCTTATCCCGTTGCCTTAATAAACTGTACTCACCGGTTTCATGTTGTGATGAGATAATGCTTTTTATAAAGGGCTATGGCTTGGCTATGAGATAAAGTGGTGAATGACTTACGTAGAGATACGTTATCTCCAACTGTGACTTGCTTGTAACTTGCTGTGCATAGATATCTCGATTGTTCTAGGACTGCCATATGTGTTGCATGTACTGAAGAAACAACAACTCTTGAAACCACTCAATAAATGACACAGTGTGTTCATCATGAATTGTGATTCTACTCTAAATACACACTGCATGTTTTATACACAGGATTCTTAAATATATTGCCTTGTTGATCAGCCATATGTGTTTTCAACATAGAATAACGCAGGCATCCCATCTTTTATCATAAAAGCCAACAAATATTTAAACAAGGAGAACTCAAAGATGTCCCCATTGGCCATCAATCTAGCTGAAAAAAAGGTGAATGTACAGAAAAAAAAATGTTTTCTTGATTATCACCATGTTTATTGTTCTCTGCTACACAAAGGTATCAATAATATTAGTAAAAAGATTTTAGGATTAAATAATATTTATCTTCCAATGAGCCTCATAGAATCTAAATTTTCTGATAATACCATTCACTTTATATTTACTTTCATTTGATTAATGTGGGTAGAGAATACCTTTGTTTTTTTTTTTTCTGGACATGTAAAATTTTAAAATATTCTTTAAGGGAAAAATTCAAACATATACAAAGGCAGAAAGAATAATATGATAAAATTTCACACCTCCGGTGTTCTCCTTCAACAAATAGTAACACATAGCCAGCCTCATTTTACCCATACTTCATATCATTTTATCCAAAAATACCTCTGTGTGTATTCTAATGGATATGTGTGAGTATCCAAACAATTGCCACTCACAGAAAATGGGCTTTGATTTCAGTGTTGGGAGAGTTTGGCGGAATATAAGCAGAAGAGTAAGAATTGTCCACTGAGATCTAACAATTTGCCCACAAATACTTGCAGATTTAAGTATTGATTTCTGAACAGAAGGATCATTGTATTCCCTGATCTTCTGCAATTCCAGTTGGCTGGCATCTGCAGAGGTCATTTCTCACTTCCTTTGGTAACTGTGGGTGGATAAATGGTGACTTGGGTGGTTAAAGCCAACTTGGGGAACTTTTGGCCTCTGTAGGGGCTAAAAGAGCAGGCTGGCTTCCTGTAGCCATAAAGGAGTGGGGAAAGCAGTTCTGGGATCCTCTGGCATGCAGGGGATAGTCCATGTTTCTCTGCTCTGTGCCACTTCTAGCCCAGCCACTTCTTAGCAGTCTGTCCTTGATTTTGCCTTTCCAGGCCCTGTGGTAAAAATGATAGAAAGAAAAGGAAATAGAGGAGACCCAACCCTCTATAATGGATGATGGACCTTGGTAGGGTTACACATCATTTTCATAGATGTTATCATGTTCACAAATAACCCTAATGACACTGGGTAGGGAAGATTGTGCCTCTATGGTGAGAACCCTGGGGATCAAAGCTAAGGGACTTACCAAGATCAGACAAGAGGGGAAGCTGAAGCCACATGGTCCCCTGACAAGCCATGGCTGTCTGATTCTTCTGTGCTGCCTCTGAATGAAAGCGCTTTTTAAAAAAATTCTGAAATCTTTATAAAGGATTAAGGAAAGAGTGGGAATGAATTTGCAGTGTAAATATCTAGGAAGGAAACATGATGGTAGGCCTCCTCTCCTTTCTCATCTTCTACTCAGAATGTAGGAGTCCCTGGCCTCTTGTGCCAGGATTGGAGTCATTAGGGTCACCGCCACATTAACAGTAGAAATGGAGTCACTGTGTTGATCTCAGACCCTGAGCAAAAAGAGGCCTGTGGATTCTTCAGTGCAGGCTGGCCATGGGTTTGGATAAAGAAACATCCCCTCCTTTTGATCTCCTGAACCTCTATCATTTCTCTCAGTTATGAATTTAGACTCCAAATCATAGCAATCACTAGTGGTTCCCGTGAGTCTGTCACCAAGGGAGACCAAAGAGAATTTCCTGTCACATTACAATGATTGTAGATAAATTGAAAATAACCTTTACGCTTATCCCAACTTCAAAATATGGCAGTTATTAGACTTGCAGCTGGCTCTTGTTATTTAATGTTTTAATCGTGACACGTTATTTTTCCACAAAGTTTTAAAAGTCATTTTGATCACTGTATTTTTACATAATTATTTTTCCATTGCAATTGTCATCTTGGGTATTTTACCTTATACATTTAAACACATTAGTCTGAGAAGGAGTATGGGTACCAGTCCATGGCCACCTGAGTCCACAGTACAAGTAAATATTTTAAAAACTTACTGTAAAATATTAAATTATTCACTGGGAACAAAATTTTATAAACATTTATTTTAAAGAAGAGAGAAGTTGGGACAATTCCTGAATGTCATCATCTCTTCTATTGGTATACTCCGTCTAAGGAACTCTTGACAAACAGTACAACTGCAATAAATATTCATAGAAATTATAATCCCTTTTCCTTTTGGAAAGATGAGCAGAAGGCTGAAAACACACCAAATTGGGTTCATGGAACAATTTCTAAAAGGAGAGAAGATTTAAGATGGAGAATAAAGTGGAAAGGGAAGGAATACTGGCATGCAGGAGTTAGCCACCGGTGAGATTTTACCTTGAAGAGGACGTTCTGCCTCGAGTCTGAAAACAACATCTGTCTTTATGGGAAAAGCCATGCCCTGCGCCAACCCTTCTGTGTCCTCTCAACCACAGGTAATCAAATTGTGCATGAAGTAATTTTATAATTTCATTTTCAACTGGTGAGCACTAAATTATGCATTAGATCTGTACACATGAGAGAATATATTTGTTGTGGTAACATCTGCTAATATGTGCTTAGTCTCAGAAAACCATTATATCACGATTCTTAACCTGGGCACAAAAACAAAAGGGTCTAGGCATTTGACTACTGTATTCTGATTGTTCCTATATACCAGGGGACTTCAGGATTCCTACATAGATAGGATTTGTCAAGTAAAACACTCCTAATGATTCAATCTTCCATTTTGCTTCTAGAAATCATTTTTGTCTGATGTGCTATTTGGTCTTACATATAACCACACTGGGCAGAACCTTTGAGAAAAGAGTTTGAAAATTGTCAAGGGCTGTATGCAGAATCTACCATATGTGATTTGCACTGTTCCCCTGGTAGCTTCTATTTTTTATGATGCTAACTTCCATGGTGGTGGAGACAACCATATTTTTTCATGTCCCCAAGTGCTTTCCCTGACTAATCCATATCCCTGGTTTCAGTGCCCATTTATTCTCTACAACCTAATATCTATGAACTCATCTGTTCCTTACAAAACCTTCATGTGGCCCCTCTCCTCACTCAGGTTGAGCTCAGTGCTTCTCCTGGAACCAGGAACTGTTCTCACATCCCTACCCATTCACTCACTCCTTTTCTCCCACCCTCTGCTCAACATTGCACATCTTGAAACTGAAATGATGCCTTTGAGTTATGGACAAAAACGAGGTCTTCAAGGTTTTCTGCAGAATTCATTGAATGAAAAGTGAATGAAGCAATCACGTAAGACAATGAGATGTGCCAGCCAACATGGAGACTAAGAGGTATGAGGAAAGGTATGAGGCCAGTTGGCCCCGGCCAGTCTCACATTCAAGAGGTTGACAGGGGTTTGTGTGTGTGTGTGTGTGTGTGTGTGTGTGTTTGCATGGGGCAAATGATATAAAGGATGAAATCTTTATACCATATATACATACTTTCAATGTAGCAAGTATGAATATCACTCTGCCATTTTATAGGTGTTACATTTCTATAATTTAGAAAAAATAATCCTGCATTTTCACTCTAAAATGACAGAAAATTCCATGACAGTCATATTTGGCAGACTGAGTGTTCATTCAAGGTACTCCAATACCTGGGGTGCCAGAAGTTTGTGGGGTCCCTATCAGCTACTCCATCTGCTGTAGCTCACCAGGTTTCCAAAGCACTGGACAGATTGCATGACCCAGTCAGAACAGAGATGCCCCTCAGGTTGGCCACTCCTCTGCCACACATGGGCCCGGAGGGAAGCACTGAATTTCTCAAACACATCTGGAAGACATTTCTGACAGCCAATTACACACCAAGGAGCACAGACCCTTCCAGAAACCCGCAGGATTCCTGAGTCCACCCCTACTCCTGGCCTGAGGAAAAGAAACTTCTTTCTCAATTAGGCAGCGTCTGTGTCTTCAGTTCCCGAGCCCTAACCTCCATGCCCCTTCTCCAGGGAATACAGTCTGGGCAACTTTTTGTTTTGAATGTCATGGGTCAGCAAAGGAGCTGGAGACACCACTTACTGGTTTCTTAATAACTCACTTTATTATGCAGTTCTTCAGAAGTACTGTGTCCCCCCTGCTCTCCACGCCCCCCTCCCCAATCTACTGGTGGCCCTGAGCTTCCCTGATGTCCCAGCCCTTGTTCATTCAGCAGCACAAGGACACAGGGTCTTGGCAATTGTCCTAGGTTTCTTCATCCTGTTCATGACTCCAAAAACAACACGTTTCTCACTCAAAAACAAGCTGGAGGTTTCTGTTGAGACTTCAAATATTTTCCCAGAGTCTGCTGTAAAAATAATAAGGTTACATTTTAATTTTAAATGATTTATCCATGTGAGTTCTTGTGTCAAGACCCTGCTATAGTTTTGTTTATCGTACAAAGAAAATCAAGTCTGCTTCTAAAAAAAATATTTTCCAAAATATAAAACAAATGAGCATCCTGCTTCAGAATGAAATCTCAGGAAGAGTCTACATTTGTTATATAGAAGACTCCAGACAAATATTTATAACTCCTGCCCACAATTTGTTTGGCAATTTGCATGGTTTCGATAATCATTCACGATAGTATTGTTACTCAGGACTTAGCATTCATGTCTTCTTCCAAATATTTTATTTTGGGGTTATAAATGAACTTTCCGTTTCCAGAGATGTATTGGACAAGGGTAGTCATGGTAGCCCTCTCTGTGTTATGCTGTAACCTGAATTCATTTTGGAAAGAGTAGGAAATTCCTTAGAGGGGTTTGGGAAGAAAAAATATTTTAATGATCCAACCCCATAATATTTATATCCTCTTACAAATAGTTGTAATTAGGTCCCATTTGTAACTAACAAAACTAAAAAATCTGCCTCCCTCCTACCAGTAGGACTCCATTTTAAAATAAACATTATACACGAATGATTAATATTGAAGACCAAAAAAATTGCTTATCTCACGAATGCTCCTGCATTCCTGCAGTGCCATCTGGAAAATTCCACCAGTGCCAACTGAGTTTGTGAGAACCTGTGATGAAACCCAAATAGGGACAAGATGTGGTGTTTGCATTTGAAAGAATGAAAAATTGTCTCTGAAGGAGAAAATGCTGTGGGTGTAAAGAAAGGCAGAAACCAAGGAAGCCTTGGAGAGAGTTTTCACTGAGATCTGAAGGAGCTGGCAGCAAAGATCCTTCAGGGCTCTGCTGCAGAGCTGGCTGAGGTCCAGAGAGGAGGAGGGACTGCAAGGTAGAGGTCGCTGTGGGCCACAGACTTGTCCCCTGGGCAGAGTCTACAAGGAGTTTGAAGTGTTAGACTTTATCTATTTAATTTTTGAAAAGATTATATATTCACAAGATTCAAAAGCATTAGAGGTCCTACCAGGTTTATTAGGGAAAAATCTCCTCAATATTCCTGCCTCCAGCTACTCAGTTTTCAAGCCTGGAGGCCACCGACATTCCCAGCTGCTATGTGTCCTCCAGAGCAATTTCAAGCCACCAAGCAAAGATATATTTTATACATATGCATCCTTTCTTTCTTTTTTTTCTTTTTTTTTTTTTTTTTTTGCTGGTAGAGTCCACTCCCTAGATTGATCTGCCTTATTTTCTTGCTGCCATCTGGGAGGAAGCATATAGGCTATGGATTAGCCATCCCTAACTTATTCTGTGTCAAGAACCCTTTTGGCATTTGGTGAAGCTTAGGAATTTCTTCTCACACTAATGTTTTAAAATGTTGACAATACAATCCTCAAAGAAAGTCGGTTATGCTGGAATATAGTCATAAACATATTTGTATTTAGAAATATATGGACTTATGTATTAATGAATTAAATAACAAGGTCTATCAGTGAGCTTAATTACAACTGTAATTTTGGGGGATTCAGATGAGTATAAATGTTATTTCACAATCCTGGCCACACTTGTAATGTGACATAAAGTATCTATGATTTGTATATTTGCAACAATGTAAGGACTTAAGTCATGAGTAAAGATTAATGATACCGTTAAAAAAAAAGTATCTATGATTTTTGTTGGTAACAAAGACAGCTATTGGCACTTTTGTGGTTTTCTGTCTGCCTCATAATTAGAGGAAGTTATAAATTTCAGCTAGAGACAAGAAACACTACTTTATATGTACAGTATTTCACTACTTTATATGTACAGTATTTCACTACTTTATATGTACAGTATTTCACTACTTTATATGTACAGTATTTCCCAAACATTCACACATATTTGTAGGGTATATTCTTAGAAGCGCTTTTAATACCTTCATAATTAAATGCCTGTTGTTAAACTGCCAGAAATATACAGTCATTTCTGCTTTGAATGAGGGTGTGTTAGTAAGTAGTTCAACCTTAGGCAATCTGAGAAGTAAAAAAAGTTGTATTTTGGTTTAGTTTTACTTTGCACTTATCTCATACCAGCACATTTGAAAATCCTTTTTTTTTTTTTTTTTTTTTGTATTTAAGAACCCTTTTCTTAGCCAGGCATGTTGAACATACCTGTAATCCCAGTGGCTCAGGAGGCCGAGGCAGGAGGAATTCAAGTTGGAGGCCAGCTTCAGCAACTTAGAAAGGCCCACAGCAACTAGTCCCTGTCTCAAAATAAAAAATAAAAAGAGAATTTGACTATGTGGTTCAATACCCAGTACAAAAAAAAAAAAAAGAAAAGTTAGTGCCCTTTGTTCTTTGTCCTGTTGGTTCCTGGGCAGGTTCCTGGTGTGTTGCAAGCAGCAGTGGACACCAGTCCCTGAGACAGCAGTGTAAACAGCACCCCCTGGGGTTGCAGCAGATGGTCCCAGTGAAGATGTACATTGTTCTTTGTTGTACTTTTCCATCAGATTTCTGTTTCTTTGAACCACCTGAGTAGATTAAAATCAAATATGGAATACAAAATTCACTTGTCTTATTTAGGTAACAATATTGTTTAAGAAAATGTCTGCAAGAATTCAGAGCAAATCATTAACTGTAGCTTTCATTGGCGAGAGAAGTAGTCTGGAAGGCTATGGAAGGAAGTTTTACTTTGATCTTTTTCAACTATGTGTTTATATGTAATCTGTGCACAGTAAATAAAATAATAAATGTACATGATAAAAATTCACTGATGCAGAGGGGTATAAAACAGCAGTACAAGAATCCCTTTTTTCTACCTCTTTCCAGAGTAAGAGTTTTATAAAAATTACTAGGCACTTCTCCTTGAGCCTATATTGTGGTTTGAAATACTCTTTGCCACTAGAAAGGGCCAGAGTTCCTTAGAGAAATGATTGATTGCAGAGATTGTGGGAGATGAGCTTGTCACCTCTCATCTGTCATGCCAGGTGGCAAAGTTACCAAATTCAACGGGAACATCGGGAGAGGACTCAAGCGCCAGACTGAGAGGCTCCTAGTGACCAAAGACCAAGCCACTGCAGCATCAGTAACTAATGGCCTGAACTGTATACAACTTGCAAAGTTCATAATGATACTGAACTAAAGGAAAATTAATTGGCCATACTGAAAGATAATGGGGAACCAACTTATTGCTTTAAAAATTGGTAAATCAACAGAAAGAATTATCTAGCATTTACCTTAACTTTCTTATCCATATTGTCTCTGGGTTACCACATCATAGACAAAGAGAAGTTTCTTCTTATAAAAAGTAGTCTGGCTAATACAATAAGATGAAATCATAAAACATTCTATTTTTTAACATCTAATGGATGGTCGTATCTAAGCCTTGGTCACCCATGGTGTGAGCATTATAACTGTAAGTCCTCCTGGTAAAAGAATACCACCCCAGGTAAAAGCTGTCTTGCCAAAAAGGAAAATAAGAGAGAGAGCAAAGCAAGAAGGAAACTAGAATTTGATGACGGCTTCAGGCCCAACTGTGAACCTGCAGCAAATACAAACCTGTCTGTTGGACACCACAAGCTTCAGGCTGTGGGAAAGTCTGCAGCTTTTATTTTTCCGTCTTTTGTACGGGAGATTGAACTCAGGGGCACTTGACCACTGAGCCACATCCCTAGCCCTTTTTCATATTTTATGTAGAGACAGGGTCTCACTGAGTGGCTTAGCACCTCACTAATTTACTAAGCTGGCTTTGAACTCCCCATCCTCCTGCCTCAGCCTCCTGAGCTGCTGGGATTACAGGCGTGCGCCACTGCACCTGACTCTGCAGCTTTTCTAACAAAGGAACTCAGAAGGAGGGGAGAAGAGAGGTAGGGGAGCCTCAGAGACCTTGTCCTCATCTTGATTCAAACACACAAACTGTAGAAACAAAGCAAAATGGCTTTTCCAACATTTACAAAATTATTGGATAATGAGAACACTGAAAAGGATATTTGATGATATTAAGGCAGTATTGTTACTAACTTATAATATTTTGCACAATATCATGGTGTGATATATATATATATATATATATATTTGGTACTGAGTATTGAACTTGACCACTGAGCCACATCCCCAGCTTTATTTTGTATTTTACTTAGAGACAGGATCTCACTGAGTCATTTAGCATTTTGTCATTGCTGAGGCTGGCTTTTGAATTTGTGATCCTCCTGTCTCAGCCTCACGAACCACTGGAATTACAGGAGTCTGCCACAATGCTCAGCTGGTGGTTATGTTTTTAAAAGAGCCATTCTCTTAAAAATCCATACTGAAAAACTTACAGATGAAATACTACATCTAGAATATGTTCCAAGTGATCTGGGAGCAGTTGAGGTATTGAGGATTAGCCAGGGGTAACTTTTGGAGCTGAGGCGAGGAAGATCTGTAGGTGTTTACATGTTATTCTAACTTCATATATATTTTAAGAATTTAAGCAAAATCATGAAAGGTCAGTTTGTTCTGAATGAGGACATTGTGGCAGCAGAGGCTATTATGATTTAGATATGAGGTGTCCCCCAAGAGCTCCTGTGAATGCAGGAATATTCAGAGGTGAAATGACTGGATTGTGAGAGCTGTAACCTAATCAATCATCCTAGTTTGGAGGATGGGGTGGTAGCTGTAGGCAGGCGGGGCGTGGTTAGAGGAGGTGGGTCACTGAGGGCATGCCATGGCAGGGTGTGTGCTCCCTGCACAGCCCCTTCCTCCCTCTGTCTCTGTTTCCTGACCCACCATGTGCCAAGCAGCTTTCCTCATCAAAGGCTCTTCCTCCGCAATGTGCTGCCCCACCTCATGCCCAGAGCAATGGAGTCGGCCATCTGTGAATGAGACTTCTGAAACTGTGAACTCCAAATAGACTTTCTTTCCTCTAAGTTGTTCTCGTTGGGTATCAGTCATAGTGACACAAAACTTGACTAAAACAAAGGGGTAGAGGATCACTTCTTTTGAATGAGGTTCTGTTGCTACATTCTTTTTTAAAAATCCAAATTTAAAAATCCTTACTCCTTTGGATCAGAAATGTTCCTGCCTGCATTCCATGGGAAGGAGGGGCAATGTAGTCAGGCAGCCCAGAGCTCAGAGGAGGCAGGTGGGCTGTGAAGGAGGTCCATGCTGAAGACTGGTTTCTGGGCACAGGATTGTGGGTAGAGAAGAGCTTTCAGGTTCTCAGGGAGAACCCTGGGGTCACCACGTGTAAGGTCGGGGAGCAAGGGGGTGTGCTGGGCAGCAGGGGAGGAGAACTGTGAAGTAGATGCATGGGCCAGGCCCACAGGAGCTCTGGAGCTGGGGTGGCCTTACCAGGCTAGATGTATTTTCCTTTTCAGTCTTTAGAAGTGGGCTGCCCTCAGAGAGTTAGGAGACAGCCTCCAGCACCAGGGAGAGCTGCCTGTGGCCAGCTGACACTCTCAGCATCCCTGCAGCAGGTGGCCCAGGAGGGCCTTTGGCTGGAAGGAGATGGGGACCGTGCCCACAGCACCCAGGATGATGACCTGCCATCACATTACATCTAAGTTTGGCACCAGGCTTATAGCAGCTCCATTCTGGCTTTTTTTTTTCTTTTTTCTTTTTTTTTGTTTAATGAAGAAAGAACATAAAAAAAAATGAAAAACTTTTTTATGCCCCTTCTAGAATCACATAGACAGTTGACAGGGATTTATTTCTTCAAGCTTTTCACAGTACGTCAAAGACATTCACAAAGGTTATTGCAGGGCTGGGGTTGTGGCTCAGCAGTAGAGCACTTGCCTAGCATGTGTGAGGCCCTGGGTTCGATCCTCAGTGCCGCAGTCCGGCTGCAGCAAAATAACCGGGGGCTGATTGATACAGCAGGAGTGGGAGCCATTTATTGTAGGACAGGAGGGGTATATATACATTCCACACAGCTTATCTTAATTAACATAAACTCGATACAGCAGTCAACCAATAAGGAATCTCCACACTTAATGGCTTGCTGGAGTTACTTCATAAACCACTCCCTCTGGCAAAATGCCAGGTGCCATCCAGACTTGTTTACAGACTCTAACATTTGCTAGGCGCCATCCTGACTTGTTTACAGACTCTAACATTTCCCCCTTTTGTTTAATTTAAATAACGACCATAGTGGTTTTTACACAAACACCATAAATAATCTGCTACAAGCAGAAGGGGAGGATACAAAATGCCACAATACCAAGCCAATTGATGGCTCCATGCAAAAAGCCCTTGGAAAAATTATACCAGCAATGACACAGTTTGCAAAGATACCGAGTTACAATTTGTTGTAGATTACAGTTTGTTGTCTCAGTCCAGGTAAAGCAGTGTCTCAATAGATTAACTCACAGTCCAGGTAAATCACAGTCCAGGTAAGTTCTGCAGGCAGCTAGCTTGATCCGAAGTCTCCTCCGGTTTTCAGCAACACTGGAAATTCTTCCACCCTCGTTTTCACCGGCACTGGGATGAAGGCGTGAACTCTAGCAATGCTGCTAAAGAAAATCCTGTAGCATTACACTAAGAAAACAACCTTCTGAACAATTTAGTACATTATCTCAAGGTTTTTTTACATTTGAAATAAGCCTTAATAGCGCTCATTACTCATTAGCCTCCAGGTGTGGGAGAACCATTGTAGTTACTTGCCTTGGAAATGATCAAACTTCAGGGACAGCTGTCTTCCCCCTGCAGCATCCCGGGCAGCCCCAGATGGCCCCAGGGAGAGTCTGGGGCTCAAACTGCTTCCGGGCACAGGGAGCAAGAGCCTGCGAGACTGTGCCTCTGGGTCAGGTTTGGGTTTGGGCTCTCGGTAGTGGCTTCCCACTCCCCGGGCAGGGGGCGGGGAAGAGCTGGCTGCCGCTGCTTGGAAATTCCTTGCTGTGCCATGATAGGCTCACGCACGTGGCAGCTGCTGCACCTATTCACGCACCCTCCGGTAATGAAAAGTATTCAGTGATAGCCTTTTGCTGCAGCTTTTTTCCTGATAATCCTTCTTCTTCTGAACTTTCTTTTTCTTTCTGACTAAAGTTCCTGGGCTTCCATCAACACATGCCCTAACTATTCTTGGTTCCACTGGGGTGCCTTCTTCCCTTAGTAATTTACTTAACACCCCTTCCATATTTTCATCACAAAGACAATACAACATTTTAAGACAAAACAAGACACAAACATACTGTATCAATCTTCTCCATTTTCTCAAAATGGCCATTTTTCCTCTCGCCCTATCTGCCTAGGGACGACCCGTCCTATCTTTCTAAGGACGGGCAGCTTTTTTTTTTTTTCCGTCACTTACCCCCGAGTGTCCCGGGGCTCCCGGTACGGGCCACCATCTGCCGCAGTCCGGCTGCAG